CTTGTCTGTCAGTCATATAATGCAGGTCTATGGTCACCACCTCAAAGAGCATGCACAGAGAAGTCCAAATTAAACATGATTTAATGACTCGTAAATGTTAGTACACATTGATGGCCTAAGACACGAAACGAGCGGTTTGTGTGAGAAAACGAGCAGTATTTATATCAGTATATATATATTATATCTGCACAAGATTACATTTTTGGGGGGAATTATTCAATTAAAATGCCGAACACACCTGAAACTGCCTGTCAGGCTGCTTAATAAGCAGTCTACCCCCCCATTCCCCATCGGACATCCCTCTGTGACATAATGTTTCTGTTCATACATCCTCAATACCTGTGGATGTCTGGACTTTGCATTGTTGCAAAAACACTCCAACAACCTTACCTTTACTAGATTTATTAATTGCATCATGTATTTTACTGGACATAGCAGTTTGGGGTTTTCTAGGGGTATTTATGGGGGGGTTAAATAGGTACAAAGTCATGAGTAATTTAAATTTAATTTATGGGGACACATATTGATAAGGCAAATGGGTGAACAACTTAAAACTATATGCCTGTCTGTTTTTTGCTCTAACAACTTTTCGTTGTTATCCTGTAACAATGACCAATAAACTTGAACTTTCTGATCTCGTAGCATTTCTCACCTCGTTCCATGTCTCTTGTGTCCCCTGCAGGCTCGAAGCGTGCAGCTGAGGGTCGTGGTCATCAGCGAAAGGGTTCTGGGCTTCGATCATCCCAACACCATTCAGCAATACGTAAGTCACGTTCTCACAAAACCAAAACAAACCTACTTTTTTAAAATGCATTGAGATCATCATCATCTAATACAATTGTTTATTTTGTTCCAGGTGTTGCTGTCAGTGTATCTGTTCGCTGGAGGCGAAACCGCCCTGGCTCAGCGATGCCTGTATCGTGCCAAAGTTCTTCTGTTGACGATTCACGGAGGAGATCATCCTTACATTGCAGTCATAGATGTAAACGTCATCAAGCATAATCAAGTTATCACAGATCCCAAATAGAAGTATCGTTTTGAATGATGTTTATCTTTTTTTTCTTTTTTTCTCAGGCTTCTCTGGGATTGGCTCTTCAGAGAGAACAATCATTACAGTATCTACAGAGCGCACTGAAACTCAACAGCTCCTTCAGAGGAGACACTGACCTGACAACAGCTCTGATGTAAGACGAAATGCTTTACTTATGCTTAAAATAGATGGAGTTGTATAGTAATCATGCAATGAACTGTTCAGATAACACAAGCTCTAAGGGGGCTTTCACACTGGGCTCGTTTGCTGCGGTCCGGGGCCGAGCGCGTTTGTTCCCGGCGCCCCCGCAGCGTTGGTCTGGTTTCACACTCAACTTGATTCTATCGAACCTTGGTGCGTTTGCATGCATATTACGTCATCGCAAACGTGCACGGCGCATGATAGAAAACAGAACGCGGGTCAATATTGTGTATTTTATTAATTCACTGCTATTATGCGCAGGTGGGTGAACAATACAGGTTTACTGTGTGTGTGTCACATAAGGTGGCCTTCTGCTGCTTGCAAACTGACTTTTTTGAGGAGACAGTGGATTTCCAACTTTGGTTCCCTGATTTCACGCGCAATGCACGAATACACTGCAGGCTCACTCTCGCTCGTACCCAAGGTAAATCGTCAACACTATCATCCCTTACAAGTGTTTTATTTAACTGAATACATCACAATAAGCTAAAACGCATGCGCAGGTTACTTTACTTCCTGAACAAGTACGCACCCGAGTCTGTGCTGCTTTCACATTCACGCGAACCGCGGCACGGTTCGGGAGCAACCGAACTCAGACCACCTCCTCCTGGTAGTCTCGGGTTCGGTACCCCAGTGCGCACCCGGGTCCCATGACAGCGTTCACATTAGCGATTTATTTTTCATGCGAACCGTGCCCCGTTCCGAACTAAACTGCCAGTGTGAAAGCCCCCTAAGGCTCCGTTCCAAACCCTAGTGAGCTGCCTATATAGGGTTCCTTATTGTGGTCAAAATAAATGACAGGATCACATATATCCTTCACGCATGAGGCAGTCCCACAATGCATTACAAATAGCACAGTGAAAAAAATCATCCAAAATGGATGGAGCTAAGGAAATTGTCAATTTTGAAAATAATGTCATTCAATACTTAAAAGCGTTTATAGAAGATAGTAGATTTTGCTTTGTGACATTGTTTTCATGACATTTAATTCTAAAATCACAATGCATGTGGAGTAGAAGGAAATCCAAGGCACTCTTCTTAGGAATTAATAAAAAACCCTTTATTTAACTGGCTATTTGTTTTGCTATGCTTTGTAAAACTATGCATGTGTTTTGATTTTGCTCATTAGACTCCAATAATTAAAGTATTTTGTATGTGTGTGTGTGTATATATATATATATATATATATATATATATATATATATATATATATATATATATATATATATATATATATTATATATATATATATATATATATATATATATATATATATATATATATATATATATATATATATATATATATATATATATATATATATATATATATATATATATATATATATTGCAGATTGTATATAACAAGACAGGGAACAACTAACATCGTAAGACACTTCCATTAAACACATAGTTTAAATTTGAGAAGGAATAAATGTAATAAACAATAATGGAAAAAAACAAACACAAGAAACAGACAAACAGGTAGCCTATATAGACAGTAAATGAATAATAAGTCATAAAGTATTTTGTATTCAAGTAAGCATTAGACATTTATATTATATTAGATTACTATCTAGTAATAGTAATAACTATATATTTATATTAGACAATTATATATAAAAACAGCAATAATTATGAAACAATTAAAAGCTTTTAAGTTGACAAGGTTATGAGGTTTCATTTGTTTCCTTAAGTGACTGAGATTAGACACTGAGGCGGCTCATTAAGGTTTGGATCAGAGCCTAAGTAATCAAACTCATTTAAACTTATAGTTATGTTACCTGTTACCTGTTTAAAGTTGCTAGAGGATATGTGATTGTTTCGCAGGCACCATCTGCTGGCTCAGAGACTGTGTGTGGCTGGCGACTACAGAGGAGGCATGAATCATGAAAAGGAAGCTTACAGCATCTTCCAGAACAAGGTCAGATTGCGTGTTTGTGAGTTGAGTTTTTATCTTTGAAAACGTGATGGTGTTCTGAGCCTGTGTGTGTGGTGAAACAGTGCGGAGAAGACCATCCTCAAACCAAATGCAGCTCTGACTTCCTGAGGAACATTACCCAGCAGGCCGTGCGTGTAGAGCGTTCGATTCGTCAGGGAGGCGTGGAGCTTTCTGAAACACTGCCTGAGGTGAGCTTAGCTTGAAACCGCTGTCTAATAGAGCTGACATGTGAAGACTTGCATTTGTTTTGTTAAACATGAGCTGTGATTCTCTTCTGCAGGGTTTGGTTCCCTCTCAGGACATAACACTGGAGCAGCTCGCTCTGGTCAATGGCATACTGAAGACTTCATACAGGTGAAGAGACTTTAGGATCGCACTACTTGGTTGAACTTCACTAAAGCATAGTATTTGTTGTTCTGTCTTTAATTGATGCGTTTTAAAATTCAAAGAGGTGCATTAATGACAACTGAGAATGAGACGTACAAAGAAATGAAAAGCAAAACATTAATCGCATCTAATATAAAAGTTTGTTTATATACATGTGTGTGTATATATATACACATATGTCTGTGTGTCTATATATATATATATATATATATATATATATATATATATATATACACACACACACACACACACACACACACACACACATATATATATATATTATATAAACAAACTTGTTAGATGTGATTAATCATGATTAATCGATTAGATGTGATTAATCATGATTAATCGATTTGACATACTTGTACTTATTATTGTGTTGTATTTTTCATTAGATTCTCATTTCATTTTAAAAAGCATCAATTAAAGACATTTGACGGTGGTATTCAATGTTTATTTATTTCTGCTTTACAAAATTACATAATATTATGTGTTATCATAAAAATAATGTGAATTAAAATAAAATCCCTGCTCATTGGTAGTGGGGGTTATTACTACCACTACTTATAATTAAATTTTGAAAGAGTTCATAAGGCAAAACGAATAAATAAAGGGTGTAAAAATCATTAAATTTCCAAAGAATTTTTCGGTTCTGATATGGAAACATAGCTGATTGCTTTTATTGTCATTGCTTAAGCACAAAAATGATGGAGTTCAAAGAGAAACTGAAAGAGAGAAAAGCAGCGGAAGAGGCTGAAAAGACGAAACTGGAGAACTCTGAATCGACCAATGAGAACAAAGCTTCAGAACTACCAACCAATAGCGGAGAGGTTACTGAGGAGGCCACGTCCAATGGGGAACCGAAGCAAGAGGCCACAGATGGAAACGCAGAAGGCCAAACAGACGCCTCTGAGAAACCAGACCACTCAAACATGAACGGCCAGATCGAGTCCCACCTGCATAACGGAGATTGTGCTTCAAAAATTGAATGTGAGGAGGAAGAGGAGGAACACCAATCAAACATCACTAATGGTGTCCCGAATGAGAGCCAATCAAAATCAAGTAATATTATGACATCAGTGAGTGAAGCACAGTCAGAATCAGCAGTGGTAAACGGTAAAGAGTGTGTTGTGAATGAAGGTTCAGGTCATTTGGATGAACAGGCTGAGACAGAGTGAGACATTACTGCAGCTCAGACGTTCAGTGAGATATGATGAGGTTGAGCTCAGTGTTTGACACATGACTGTACAACTGTCTCAATTAATCAACCATAAAAGAAGTGTGGAGACAAGATGATGCCCAAAGACAGTCTGTCTTGAAGTTATTAAAATGTTTGACTAAATAAAGTTTAATTTTTGTGTGAACATTTTATGCATCAAGCTTTCTTCATTTCGTAGTTTTCGCCAGTGGTGCAAAAAATACACAGTTCCCCTTTAAGACAAAAAAAAAGTCTTATTTTTATTATTTTAATAAAAAAAAACAAATGTATATACAAGAAGAAACTGGAAACGAACTAGTAAAATATAACAAAAAATAAGCAATGTTTAAAGTAGTGATGTTTTCAGCTCCTTTTCTCTCTCTGGACGATCTCGAGATCTTGGCAGTGTTGGTACAGTGGCTCTGAAGGCTCAATCCACATGGTTTCTGGCAGTTTGTTCAGCTTTTCCAGAGGGAATTGAATGAGTGCCGTGTCATTGAACACATCCATGAAGCGCGGTGCGCAGGGCAGAGGCGTCTCGTCACACACACTTATCACCTAAAACAACAGCTGAGTTAAGGCCACTTTTCTGATATTAATAGTATCGAAAGAACAGAACGAAGACATTCAATTGACATTTCGTCAGACAATTAATTCTCTGTTGAATCTCTTTATAAAAATGCATGAATTGTAAAGGTGTACTGTAAATAAAAGTCAGTTACATTTGAAAGGAAGCTGTAGTCTCTCTCAAACTCTCTCTGAAGCATCCTAAGAAGAAAATTAAACGCATGAATAAGACTCAATTAAACATACACACAATTTTGCCTTTTCAGCAGCATAAAGTAGTAAATACTAAGCTTGTAGCAGTGTTTCTTTTTTATATTCTACAATTGATATTATTAGTGTTAATTAATATTTTGATTACACTTTACAATAGTTTCATTAGTTGACTTCATGAACTAAAAATGACCAATACTTCCTACTGTATTTATTAATCTTAATTAATGTTAATTTCAACATTTACTAATACATTATGGAAATTAAAAGCTGTATTTGTTAACATTAGTTAATGCACTGTAAACTAACATGAACAAACAACGAAAAGGTGGATTTTTATCAACAAAGATTAATAAATACTGTAACAAATGTATTGCTCATTGTTGAGTTAATACATTAACTAATGTTAACAAATTTTCATTTCAGTTTTCATTATTTAATTTTCATTTCAGCTTTAGTTATTTTAGTATATCAAGAACTGAATAATGTTACCTTGACAATAAGCTGAAATAAAGTTTTTTTTATTTCAGATAAAATTTATTTTATAGCAAGTACACATGTTTTTTATGGTTTTAGTTAATGAAAATTACCCTGTCTTGTAGTTAGTGATTTATATGAGATGCAGTATGTGGACAGCCGAATGCAACACTCATAGGTGCTTGTTAAACACTTAATTGTAAAACCATGTGTATTAACAAGGAGCTGCTTCACTCTTTTGTTTTTATAAACATTTATGCTCACACTGATGTTGGGCAAGAGCCTGGCTTGCTGGGAGCTGAAATAGTGAGGACGTCCACATGCTTTTGGTCATGTGTCGTATAAGTCTAGGCACCTACCTTTCTTGAATGCCATGAAAACGGTTGCCAATTATAATAATTTTTTGCAATGTCTGAGGGGTCCAGTTTCTCCACAGCAGGTTGTTATACAGAGCCTTCCCACAATGCATCAGGTAGAACAGGGTGGGTTGATAAACTGGGCGCTTTCCCTCCTGTTAGGAAAACGATGCTATAAACTGAGAGCAGAACAAAATTATACTGACACTATGTGTGACGCACCTCATTTTCAGTCAGCACGGTGAAGCCGAGCTCTTTAAGAGCATCACACTCTGACGCAGAAAACACCGGATCATACACACTGCAACTGCCCACGGGAATCTGAGAAAGCATTAAAGATTTAATTGCATTAAAAATACAATGCTTAATTGGACAAATCATATCACATAAATGAAAATTATATACCTGGAGCGTCTCTAGAACCAGTAACAACATTGCTAGCTGGTATCGGGCAGATACACAAGATGCAAAGTTACCCAAACCATAACACACACAGTGCTGAAGAGACGCATCTCCATTCAGATCTGAAGACCCAGAAGCATTGGAAAGAAGACGCTTGGACAGGAGATCTGGAGGTGGAGATGGGAATGTGGTCATTTATTTAAAAAATAGTACATTATTTTTACATTTATGGCCTGTACTGCAGTAGTTCAACATCACCTCTCCATTCCATCCAGACGTTTTCTCCTCTCAGTTCATTCCTGTGAAGGAGAAGGACATTTCAGAGAGCTTGCAGACAGTATGAATACAAACCTTAACATAATTGCATAACATAAAAAAAAGTACTAATATCAGATGGTAATATGATTGATTACCAGATTAATGTACTTTCCTATTTACATGGAACTCCAAGGTATATAAGAATACCATTGTGTTATAATGGTAACATGTTTAAAAGTGTCACTGCTTGGATTTGACATGGCAGATAAACTCTCACATGGCGTTTGTCATCTTCTGTTTGTCCAGTTTGCAGTCAGACACCTGGTGTGAGTCTAGTTTTGGGTTTGAAGGAGGGTGTCCTCTTCTAGCAGCTCCTTTACGACGCCCTGCTACCTGCCATTCATCATTACAAGCCATAACAGCTAAAACCTCTTCTTTACCCAGAATAAGACAATTTACGGTAAGAATTACTCGAAATACGTGATTAAACTAAGAGAGGATCAGTCGGCTTCCATATGAACACATTTTGTGTTTGAATAGTGTAAATGACTCTCTTGTAAAATTCTAGCAGCTGAGATGTTCATATGTACACCCAGACAACCATGTGAGTGTTTTGTGTTACGATTTAATCGTTCCGGTCGGCCGTTGTTCTCAATATATACAGTTCCTATGCTTTATACAACACATTAAAATGGCACAAATTGTTAAGCTAATAAATATATATTTTTTTTCTAATCAAGGGGTACATGTTGGTTTATTCGTGTGAATCTTTACACACACGTCCACTACTTTCCGGTCTAATTTTTTGTAACTTGTGGAAAGGTTAGAATTTCTTTCCTGTTGAACGGTTTCAGTTATATTATATTACATTACATTATATTATATTATTAAACTCAATAAAATCCTAAATAAACTTGAGATTAGTAGCGCTTGGTTTGCCGGACACTAGATGGCGCGCGCTCGCTTTTTTCCCGCTCGCAAGCACTGAGGAAATCTGAGGAAAAACTGTTTATAGTTTTTATTCTCTAAATTCTCAGTTTCCTGTCAGAATGTCTGCTTTATCTGAATAATGAGAATAGGTAGTTTCGCGTCTAATCTTCTTGCGGTAAATAAGTTATTGAGCGAAGGAAAATAAAATGAAGTGTATCATTGAAGGCAATGGCATTAAAGGTATGACACATTTTTACTCGATATTATCTAACTTACACTCTCCGCGTTTCATTTGTTTATAAATACCCCTGTTTAACGTTACTGTTTTTAGTATTTGGAAAAGCAGTTCATGCTCTGTCAAGAATTGGTGAAGAAATATGGTTGGATCCACTGGAGGAAGGGGTAGGCTCACACACACACACACACACACACACACACACACAGGCTGTGTTTTAAAAACTGGCGAGCTGCCTTATTAGACATCAGACAGGATTTAAGACACAGTCTTGTGTGTAAACTTATTGGTAAGACTCCAGTTGTTGGCATTAATTAACATTAACTAACAATGAAAATACTTCTTTTCATTTAGGCCTGGATTACATTTAGTTACTAATCTAGGCCTATCTGTTAATATTATTTATTGGACCACCTGAGCTAACATGAACTAACACTGATCAGTTGTATTTTAATAACTAATTTTAACAACATTAATAAACACATCAACAAATGCATTTATCTGTGTTAGTTAATGCATTAACTAGGCTAATGATAACTGCTGGGACCTAATTGTAAAGTGTTACTAATTTATTTTGTCTCTCATTTTTAATTTTTCCTCTCTCTGTCTCTCTCTGATCTACAGTTGGCTGTAAGGACAGTCAACTCATCTCAATCGGCTTATGCCTGTTTCTACTTCACTCCTCTGTTCTTCCAGAAGTATATTCCAGATCCAGACACCCAGAAAGACTGTGATGCTGTCAAATGTAAACTAAACATAAAGGTACTAAACACTCGGAACCATAGGTTTCATTTAAGTCTTGAAGGTTTGGTCAATGTTATTATTACTGTAGCCTACATCTTTTGTATTCTGTTAAATACAAAACAACACAACAACATATGGTCTTTTTAAAGGGGTCATATAATGCCATTTTTGTACAAGCTAGTATGATTCTTTAGGGTCTAAATTAAAAGTTTGTAATATACTTTAATTAAAAATTCTCATTAGTATTGTAAGAAAACACTTATTTTACTTGGTCAAAAACAGCTCTGTTTTCAGCACGCCGTTTCAGTGCATATGACTTTAAATGATAATGAGCTTTGCTCACCCCGCCTCTGTTCTGTGTACACCGTTTGCAACACAATAACACAATAATCATAATGCGTTGTTCAGTATAAACGTGGGATTACGAATTATATTGAGAACATCATACATAGAAAACATGCCGTAATGTACACTGAGTGTAAACCTTTGACGCATTCATTGTGAAGCGTGCAGCTAGCGATTTGCAAAGATTAATATAAATATTAATATAAAGTTTAATAAAACGTTACACTCACTTCAGTTGTTCTAGAGGTTCAGCAGGAACACGAATAGCTGGTACCGATCCTTTATTCATGAGCAGCTTCTTAGCAAAACCAGCTCATACAGACCCTCGTTTATAAAGCAGTCTGGTGTGAAATGATTCGCGCAAACATGAGAGCATTGACGTTGCTCGTGGGGAATATTCCCTTCGAAAACAAACTCAGCCACTGCGTCTTCAGCGGTTCGGATTTAGGAACATTAAAATGACTGCTGTGTTCGTTATTACACCCAAGAACAGAACACCACAATCGCTTAGACGCCATTCTGCTCATAGACAGTGCTCCAGCATATCAACAATGACCGCGCCGGTCCGCGCAGACTATGATTGACAGCTGGCTCACGAGCGAGGGCGGGTCTGTGTTGAAACGTTGCTGTCAATCAACAATCGTGGGAGGGGGGTGCGAGCTTGTGACGTCACAGGCTCGAACGGCTTGATTTGAGACAGGGGAAAACATATAAGGAGATTAAAACAAAAACACTGGATGGATTTTTATCATTTTATGATGGTTGTGTACAGGCACTGCCAACACACATTTCAGTACAATCAACTTGTAAAAGTGCATGTACATAGCTGCCAACTCTCACGCATTGGCCGTGAGACACCCGCATTTGATTGGTTTCACACGCTCACACGCCACACTCCCGATTTCTCACGCTGAAGTGTCAACCCGGGCGGTCAAATGCCTGGAAGATGAGTTTATCTATATATCTACCTGTTGAGCCACACGTGATCGACTAGTTATACCGCAAATTCGTTAAAAATCTCCCGTTATCTAGAGCGAGCGTGCATGCGAGACAGATATTGTGCTCCAAACCGCGTAGAGCGAGCGAGAGACCTTGCGCGAGCGAGACCCCCCCCCCCCCGTCAACAAATCTCACTCGTCTCTACCCCCCACCCCCCCCCCCCCCCCGTCAACAAATCTCACGCCGAGCAAAACTCAAAAGTTGGCAGGTATGCATGTACCATTATATGACCCCTTTAAAAAGGGATAGTTCACCCAAAAATGAAAACTCTGTCAGTAATTACTCTCCCTCATGTTGTTCAACCCCGTAAGACTTTCCTTCATCTTCGGAACACAAATTAAGATATTTTTGAGTAAATCTGAGAGCTGGATCACTCCTCCATAGGCTTCTTAAGGGATTACGGCCCAGAAAAGTTATTAAAGACATCGTTAAAATAGTCCGAGTGACTACAGTGGCTCAATCTTAAGTTTATCAAGTGACGAGAATACTTTTTGTGTGCAAAAAACAAACAAAAATAACGACTTTATTCAACTATTCATTTCCTTCTCTGTGGGCCTCGAGTGAGTTCACGTAGTGTAACAGCGCAGCGCTTCTGTGTTGCACGTCACACGCATCACACACATGACCAGCGTCGGCCAATAGTGAGCCTTCGTGTGACGTACAACACAGAAGCGCTGCGCTGTTACACTACGTGAACTCACTCGACAGGACACTTAAGGGGTTAATAACATGTTTTAAAATAAAGCATTATTATAACCTGTGATATAAACACCCAGTGCCGTAACTAATATCCATCAGTATTATTCATGCACAGTATTTACTGGTTATTGTATGCTTTAAAAAATAATTTTCAGTCCGTCCTTCCCCTGTTCCGCTGTGTTGCGTGGAGAGAGCGAAGTGTGGATAGATGTGAGATAACCATCAACATCCCAGACAGCAGGGTGATATTTCAGTTTCACTGCAGACACGGTTAGTTCATTTGCATGTGAAGTGTGTATTGAAGCTGGTAATGCATTGACAGAGGGATGAACAGATTGATGTTGGCGGTTGTAGTCACAGGGTGTCAGCACACTTCAACTGGACTCTCTTCTGTGATGATGAGATGCTTGAAATCATTTCCATATTGCATAATTCATCACAACTTATCACATTTGTTCTAATCAAGATGTTGGCACTTATGTGTGTGTTTTAGGAATAACTAAGACACATAATTTGGGATATCAGGAATGTGAAGCTTTGCAGGCTGTGTTCCCAGCTCACCTCTGTCCAAATGTCCTGAAGGCCCAGTCCAAGTAAACACACACACACACACACACACACACACACACATGTTGTGTTTTCATGTTTTATGGGGACTTTCCATAGACATAATGATTTTTATACTGTACAGACTGTATATTCTATTCCCTTACACTAACCCTATCCCTAAACCTACCCATCACAGGAAACATTCTGCATTTTTACATTTTCAAACAACATCACTTAGTATGATTTATAAGCTGATTTCCTCATGGGGACCAAAAAATGTCCCCACACGAACAAGGATTTCGGATATTGCCATCCTTGTGGGGACATTTTGTCCCCATAACGTAGGGTTTACCAGGCCACACATACACACACACACACACACACACACACACACACACACACACACACACACACACACACACACACACACACACACACACACACACACACACACACACACAAACAATTCAGCATAATTCTTTTCCAGTTTCATTAGTAACACTTTACAGTAAGTACATTAGTTTACATGACCTACTACTAAAATCAAAAGTTGCATCTGTTAATATTATTTAATGCACCTTAGCTAACATGAACTAACAATGAGCAGTATTTTTATTAACTAACGTTAGCAAATACTGTAACAAATGTATTGCTCACTGTTAGTTAATGTCAGCTTATGCTTTAACAAGCACAATGGGACCTCGTAAATTGTTAACGTTTAATTTTTAGAAGGATAGTCCAAACCATAAGCCGACTTCAAACCACTTTTGTTTCTTTGTCAGACTTTTAGGCGACATTGTGGTGCATTTCCCGATTTCACAAGAAGAGGTCACTCTTTCCATTTCCTCTTATAAAGTAGCATTGAAGACCTTTTATGAGGAAGAAAATGGTAAGGCTGTGTTTTTAATAGTATACTACCATGTAGCACTCTTACTATTCTTGCAGTATATATCATTAATTTATATATTTTTTAAATATATAAGTATTAAAATATTTTTTACACCAAATTAAATTAACCATTTTATGGATTAAACTCACTAAAGTAAATGTGCAGTGTGTTTTTCATTGCTTTACTTACTATCTAAATAGTAGGCAGTATTTAGTAAGCTAGTATTACATTTATATTAGCTGGAGAGGAAGGTAATTTACATAAATTCAGAACTGCATGCAACCTACATGTATTTAGACTTAATGTATACTAGAGCTCAGATGTTAAACATTGTGTTCCTGCATTAATTAGATCTTGTTTGTTTGATATCAGGTTGTATTAAAGGCATGAACACAGAGCTGATGCTGCACCCAGACGAGTTCGACTATTTTCAGGTTGGAGAGGATTCAGCCGTGACCTTTTGCCTAAAAGAACTGAGGGTGAGCGTCCAGTACAACATGTTTTACCACGTAAATACGCAGGATGTGTGTAGAGAGATGAGGTATTTGTGTCCACATGCCAGAATGCTTTATTTAATGTGTGATCTGATCAGTGCATGAGGATCTTTCCGTATTTGTTTTTATTGCCACTTATTTCTGTCCTGCAATGTAGTCGCTGTGTGATCATATTCACTCAGGCGAGTTCAGAGAAAGTGTGTCATGCGTGTGAACTGAACGGACTCCAATGTACTTTTAAAGGGGAGCTATACGCTGATTTCAAGCAGCCGTAATTTTGAAATCGAAAGCGAGGCTCCGGTGGGAAGTAAACCGGAATCTTTAATCACAGGAGAGTCGCGAATGCGATGGCGTATTGTTGTGTTTAATGTAGAAATGAGTTATTCTAAAACTGTACATACATTTCTTTCATACTTTAGACTATATACAGTGAAATTCATTCATAAATAAAATTATTTTTTATATATATATAATTCAGAACGTAAAAAAAGAAGCAGGAACGAACTATATACATATTATCCTATATTGGATATTAACATCCAATAGTGTAAATCGTGGCAGCAGCTTCAGGTTGGTTGTCCAAGGCATTGTTGTTCATAGATATCCATAATAAAGGCTAGATGTCTCGTCCGCGCTGCTGGCCAATGGAGGTCGACGTCCGCACCTGGCGGCCATCTTGTCACAGGCAGCTCGCTCACTCGTAACATTGTGTTTTAATGGTGCATGTACTTTTTAAATAACCATAACTTGCTCAATTTTCTACCGATTTTCAAACGGTTTGGTTTGTTATAAACGTCAGAGATGTAGTTATGACACTGCACACTTTTGAATAATAAGTGTATCAATTAATAATCATCCAGAATTATAGCCACGTCAATAACGTTTGTAAGAAACCAAACCATTTATAAATCCGTCAAGATTTCAACGAGATGAGAGTATTTGTGTTCGTGCTGATCACTCATCTTACATCAGGCACCACAGAGCCCGCCAGAAAGCTTGCCTGTGACAAGATGGCCGCCGGTGATGACGATAGAGACTCCGCCGTAAGACATCTAGCCTTTATTATGGATATCTATCTATGTTGTTGTTTATCTGTACTTCCGGGGTTCTTCCCACCGGAGCCTCGCTTTCGATTTCAAAATGGCGGCTGCGTGAAATCAGTGTATTATGACCTTTCTTCAAAGTCTTGATTTTGTTTTTGGGGTGAATATTTATGTATGTGAATATTTTCACATATTTTATTCACAACTCCTCTCTTCCCAGTCTGTTAGTAACGCTCTGTTTAGTTCCTGTTTCTATGAAGCTCCTCCTTCCGAAAAGCTCAATGTGCTCTGATTGGTCGGCTGGATCAGTGTGTTTCTGAAATGTCCCGCCCCTTACCATAATGGCGAGTTTCAACACACTACTAATGCAACTCAACCAGGCCCCGCCCCTTTATTTTGTGTGAATTATTTAATTGAGGATTATTGTGACATGTTCGTGGTGAAGAAAGCTCTCGATTTACCGGTCAATGTACGTTCCTACTCTCACCTATGGTCATGAGCTGTGGGTCATGACCGAAAGGACAAGATCCCAGATACAGGCGGCCGAAATGAGCTTTCTCCGCAGGGTGGCTGGGCGATCCCTTAGAGATAGGTATGAGAAGCTCGGTCAGCTGAGGTTGTCCTGGACGCCTCCTGGACGCCTTCCCGGGAAGGTGTTCCGGGCGCGTCCCACCGGGAGGAGACCCCGGGGAAGACCTAGGACACGCTGGAGGGACTATGTCTCCCGGCTGGCCTGGGAACGACTCGGTGTCCCCCCGGAAGAGCTGGAGGAAGTGTCTAGGGAGAGGGAGGTCTGGGCGTCTCTGCTTAGACTGCTGCCCCCGCGACCCGGCCCCGGATAAGCGGAGGAAGATGGATGGATGTGACATGTTCGTTCCCGGGAGAAAACTCAAGACTACAATGGAGCCGTTTCAGGGAGTTCAGTTATTAAAGAGAATAACTCACTTTGGAGGGACTTTGTGCTTTGTAACGTTGCAGGCCTTTTTCATGCACAAACAGCAACATTACACTCTAAAGAAAGTTGAACGTAAAAAAAAAGAAGCATAATAAGGCCCCTTTTACTTGCATCCAGGTGTGCTACTTTATTAATTTTGTGGTAATCTGCATTAATCAGCAATATTACTTATCTCAAAAAAATGTAATTAGTTGAATAGTTGGATTACACACTTCTAAAAAATACCAAACGTTTAAAAAAAACATGAAACTACAATCATCCTTGATGATCACTTCCGTGATTTCGTAATATATCCAAGATAAACTATAAACACAAGTTAATTTTGTATTCTCTGGCTCAACCTTTGACCCTGATTTCCAGGGAGATCTCGTGGCACTGGATTATGCCCTGCTAGTACCAACCCTTTTCACGTACGCGCTTTGGCTGTATGTCAGTGGCGTAACTTCTTGGCAGGCCACAGTGTATTTGTGTCAGGCATTGATGCAGTGGGACAGATGCTTGGATTCTAACCAGATAACCTGTCACAATGAGTTACAGCACTGGACAGCACACTGTGGCCTGGACACACATGACTGACCTTCTCCTCATGCAGTCTTAAACAGGGTCAAATACATCGGTTCGGATCAGCGTGTCCCTGTGTATAAAACACTGTACAAATCTGTTTTTGGCAGGTCTTAATTCTTCAGAATTTTGTAATAATTACAATATTGTTTAAATTATATATATATATAATTTAAACAATAATGTATTATTAATTGTTAAAATATATATATATATATATATATATATATATATATATATAATTTAAAAGATCATCAAAGACCACCCTGCAAAATTCTGAAGAATTAAGATCTGCCAAAAACAGATTTGTACCGTTTAAGAAAATTATTTATATATATATATATATAATTGTAATGTAAATATATATATAAATATATGAATATTTATATAAATAATGAAATGTAAATAATGATTTATTGTTAAATTGCTTTTAGGGGCTGCTGTCCTTTGCTGAGTCTTATGGTCTACCAATATCTTGTCAGTTTGGTATTCCTGGACAGTAAGTCTTTTATTTTGTTTTCAATGCCAAACCCACATATATTCAGTACAAAGTCATATTTTTAGCTGCACAATACATAACCAACTATAGCTGTTAGTTGAATGATTCTGAACTCTTACAGGCCTGTATCCTTCTCTGTAAAAGACATGACGCTGGAGGCCCATGTTGTGTTGTCCACTTTAACGGATCCAAACTACGAAAGTCCATCTCAACCTGCACCTGGGTATTTCATTATAACCCTCATGTTCACATGCATATACTGTACTTTCACAACTGACTTTGTATTTTCATGATGGATAGATGTTCTTAAAGGAACATTTCACGCATAAGTTACATTTTTTTGATCATTTACTTTGATAAGTATCAAGTATAAATGATCACTTGCATGATTTAAATTCTGGAACAGAATATAAATTAGTTTTTAAGAAGACCCTGGCCCTCCCAAATAGACAGAATATTCCACCCCGTAACCTTGTTTCATACAGTCTCTTTCCTATAATTTCAAATTATAGGTGCAATGCAAATGCAAAACCACTGTGACATAGAGCCTTGTCCATAAGCACCAAGACAGCAGCTGAGTTCAGTGACGGCTTTAGTTCTCTAGTTTACCTCGGCTTACATATAGGGTAACGCAGAGCTAGAGCTGTGACATGCTGGCCTGTCTCTGTCTAATCTATCACTGTAACTCCTCCAGTCTGGGCAGTGATGTCACTGAATCTGCACCGCCTCCTCGTAGAGTTTGTGCTTGTATCAGTGTCAGTGGTTCTGTGTGTTAGTCTCAAGCAGAAACAAACGTCTGGGTCACCTGTTGCGTGCACCTTACGTCACCACTGACTGTTTATACAGCCAACCTGCAATTATTCATGCTAGTGAAAGCTAAAATAAATAACTAGTCTTGATTTTTTTTTATCTCTTGATTTTAAAAGGGCAAAGGGTTTATTTGCATATGTTAGATGTCAACAATGCTGTTTAGTGTAAAGACAAAGTCTACCATCCAACAACAAGGCCACGTATGTTGATTCTTGTTTGGATGAAAATGATTATTAATTATTTGAACACTAAAAAAAAAAGTATAATACAAATAAATATTATATAATTATAAAATAATAATAATGATAATATTAAAACACATACATTTGCTTTAATTAAATCTAATGCAATTTACAAATGAGGACAAACAAGGGACTGATCATGAGGAGATTATTTTTAAAGGAACAGTTCATCCTAGGAATAGAATATGAATTTATTCATTTCTTCTATGAACCACAAAAGGCCACTCTTGAACATAATGGAATTGAATGAGGAAACTTTTAAGCTCAAAATGACAGAATGGATGCAGACTGCAGAGAGAAAGACACTCATACGAGTTTGAAAACAACATGAGGTTAAGTAAAAGATGGCAGAATTTTCATTTTGATGAAATTAAATAATTTTACTAAACAGTGTCCTCATAGTGGAGTAGATCAACAGATCCTCCGGAGTAAGTTGAAACAGTTGTTGTTGTAGTTGCTCTCGCATGCAATGGATCGTTAGTCCCGTGGGCCTTAGTTCTGGTACAGAGACACATCTGAACATAGTATAGCCCTGCCTTCACATATTCAGAGACATGCATTCATCTTTCCTTCACACACCCTCCCCCACTGTCACTGTGTGATTGGTCCCCTTCTCTCTGTTGCCTCTACTGTACCTCACACATTCCTGCACGTGTTTCGTTACCCATAGCACTTACATCACTCAGGCTGTGCTGCAAACTCTTTACTTACAGGCACACATAAAAAGTTTTACATCTATTATAACGATGTTTTATTATACAAATTCTTTGATCGCAGGGGGGTCTTGCCATTTAACCAAGTTAACAAACTTCAGAGAGTCAATTTGATATGCTTTACACCACATTAACGTCATGCTCCAGAGCTGGTGGGGGCAGAGTCTTATTCTGTTGAATTGCTTGTTTGGAAAAAATGATAAAGAATAAAAAACAACATGCATGTTTTAATGGTTGAAACATATGCTGAGTTCCAGTTTAAAATTGTCATGCCCTTCACTCGCTAACTTCCCTCCGTCTCGTTCACTCGGATGTACATCATTGCTTACGTTAAATGAAACTGCGATGGGCTGAACTGCAACATCCTAAGCCCTTGATTACTTGATTTTTTTTTATTTTTATTTTAATTCCCTTTAAGATTTTGTTTAATGCAGCATCCAAATGTATATAGATGTGTTTGGGTTGTTTTAAATTAAACAAATTTTTATTAATATATCATAGAGTTGTTTGTGGTGGTGGTGATTAGACAAAATCTGCGGTGACCTCACAATCGTGTTGCATTGTGGTATATGGAGCTGCCTGAAGTGTACATATTTACATTTATTCATTTAGCAGACGCTTTTATCCAAAGCAAATGAGAACAATAGAAGCAGTTAAACTAACAGTAGGACAACAATATGCAAGTGCTATTACCACTCTCAGTTTAATCTAACGCAGTCCATGTAATTCATTGTTATTTTTTTATAAACAAAACAAAGTTTCCTAGCAACGAAGAGCCGCGCTAAAATCTAATCTGAAAAGTAAACACTCACAGACTGATGTTCTCTCCTGTTGTTCTACTGCTTCTTCTAGTAACAAGTACTAGCACATATGAAGTAGACTTGCTCCCTCGGTCAAAATCGAGGGAGTGAGGGTCGGTCCATATAAACTTCCCTCGTCTACTTCACGAAGTGGAACGCACTTCAAAATGGCGGCAGGGATTCCCCCGAGGGGAAGTGCTTAGGGAAGTTCGCAAGTGCGTGTCTAAAAGTGGACTGGAACGCAGCAATAGTTTCAGCAACAACAAACATCAGTCTGTGTTTTCTCCAGAGCGGCTATATATATTTATATAAATGAACTAAATTAATACCCTTTTAACAACAAAAATGAAACATCACTGACCGATGCTTTTTTCTTCTTGAAACAAACTTTGTAGCAATATTTTCCTGTTTTCTCTATAAAGCTGCTTTGAAACAATCTGGATTGTAAAAAGTGCTATATAAATAAATGTGACTTGACTTGACTTGTGTGTTCTAGGGATGACTGTCCTGTTACAATCCCAAAGACCTCCACAGCCGAAGTCTCCACAAGTGAGGACCCCATGGAGGCAGAGGTGTGCATTGCTGAAATCTCCATAAGTGAAGGCCCCATGGAAGCAGAAGTGAGCATTGCTGATGGGGAACGTGTGGCCTCCAGCCAGGGCAGTGAAGTGTTCAATCCAGCCCTTCATATGAAGAAGATGATTCAGCTTCATGCACCTGGAGAGATCCTGCCAAGACCCATGTGTGTGCCTGAATCGGCCTTGACGACACCAATAACACCAGCCACATTTAAGGTTAGAGTCTTCTAGCAGACAAACTATAAATTGCAGTGTGGCATTATCAGATTAATACCCTAAATTCTAATGCACTACCAGTCAAAAGTATTTGATTTTTCCACATTTTCAAATAATAGCAAAATCTTCTAAACTGAGTTGCACAAATGGAAAATAGTATGAATAGTATGAAAAATATGTAGTGACCAACAAAAAACTCATCAATGTTTTTTTTTTTTTTTCATATGTGTCCTATTTGATGCATCAGGCTTGTATGGCTCATATAGTCTAATATAGTGAGAATATGGAGCTTAGACCCGAGGAACAAAAAACACGTCAGTTTCCCAAACTGAGAAAAAAATATGAAATTTGGTGCAATTGCTTATATCTATACGGCCAAAACATAAGATGAAATTCTGATGCTTGTTATGTATATCAGTGAGATCTTTATAACAGCACAGCAGATACTTACATAAAATGCATATAAATATCAGTCATCACTCTATATCTGCCAATAATAAGTCTTATTAAGATTATATTTAAATGCTTAGTTTTATGATCAAAGCTCGTTTTTTTAATAGGCAAAACACACATACAATGTTGATTGAGAGATGAACAAATAAACCTTCCTCAAAGGCCTGATGGATCATATTTGATACTCACATTTTAACACGATTTTTCTAAAATATTATGTATGGATAAAGGAAGTAAACCTAAGTTGATTTATTTGACCCTGGATCACAAAATATCGATTTTTCTTTTATGCTAAAAATCATTAGGATATTAAGTAAAGATCACTTTCCATGAAGATATTTTGTAAACTTCCTACCGTAAATATATAAAATATTTATTTTTGTGAATGAATGCAGCACACCGTGAACATAAATGAACAACTTTAATGGCGATTTTCTCAATGTTAATTCTATTTTTTTGCACCCACAGATTTCAGATTTTCAAATAATTATATCTCCGCCAAATATTCTCCTATCCTAACAAACCATACATCAATGGAAAGCTTATTTAATCAGCTTTCATATGATGTATACATCTCAATTACCCATGTGAACCACAAGCTGAAGGATTTTGTTTACAATTATTATAAAAGGTTTTTACTTGGTAAAAGAGTATAATCAGATTACAGAAGGCATACAGTATAGAAGATTATGTGCTGCAATTTTTACAGCAACATTTCGATCATTTAGAGACATATGGTATTTGGCTTTATAGGGTAAATTAAACTAGTAATTTTTTTTCTTGTCAAGAAGTTAATGTTTTTAAAACACATTTGCCTGCAAAACTAATTTCAGGTAAAAAGCAGAATCATTTAGATCAAACGGTTTCAGTAAGATGTCAAAGTGTGTCCAAACCAAAATTCTTTCTAGATTCAATTTTTTTTTTTACATGTATGTAACAGGGATACAAAACACTAATTTTGTAGAATGATCAAGCTACATTTAGCTTGATCATTCCTCAGATGTTTGCATTTACAACTTGAGGGTCTCATTCTAGATCCGCTCCCTGCTCTTCGGGGCTGTACTGAGTGACGGAGGGGACGGTAACACTGCAGATTTGCCCAGCCTGGTTTGTGGCAGTGACACAGAGGAGGACGGAGGATCAGAGGAGACACAGGTAGCACCTTCAGCTAATCTCAAGCAGAGAATGCATGGACGTTACTGCAGGATGTAGCCTACATAAACTCAGTCTATTATAAAGACAAAACAGCATATGGATTGATTCAAAGTTTAATATATAAATTCGATTGGAAGAGCTTCCTTAAATACGGCAGTCAAGGCCTTTTAATCCTCATTAGTGCACAAATTGTATTGTTTTATTAATGTGTGTAAAAGTTGTATGCTAGTTTTTGGTTTTCTGTTCTTACATGCACATTTTTGTAATGTTTAATACATATTTTGTGTGTTCAAACTGTTCTTGGAGAGATAAAAGGAAAACTGTGTGACAACAGTAACGTTTGAGAGAAGCAGAGAGGCCAAGTGGGGCAAGATTCACTTTCTGTTGCTGAGGAATGTCTACCTACATAAACACACAGTTCAGATGAGTTCGGTCACCGTGGAGAAGATAAATGAAAACTTCAAAACAAACACATTCACAAGGACTGAAGGACTCTGTTCTTTGTGTCCACCAATGAGTCAGAGGAAGATTTGACTCACTGCTTTAAAATGCTGCTCGAGAAAACATTATTATATAAGCCTGCAGCAATTACTGGTATTGCTAACATACCTAGAGTCGCCACATTATGCAGAGAAAGCCTTGCGTTTCGCTCAACTGTTGAATTGAAAAAAAAAAATGTTAGGTAGAAGCTTAAACTGGTCTACTTTTTTTTTAAAAGTTGGACAGCCGTGCAAAACAGAATAACTTAATTTCGCTCCCCATGAAGAGGCATTTTGTCATTTGTGACAGTCCAATCAATCGCTATTACATTAGTTCATGCTCATGATGTCAGCGTCACGACCATTACTACTGGTTTTGTTGACAAATGCAATCTCCAAACACTTATTGGTGATGTAACTTGAGTGGTATTTCAGACTCTCATGTAATTTACACCTAAATTGAGCACAAAACGTACGAAAAACTTGCATTAAACTGCAAAATGCAAAGCAATGGAAGCCTTAAAGCTGAAGAGAGTCATTTTGCCTTTCATTTCTCCTCAGGAAGACAATCTACCAATGGTTCACATGTAGCTGACTTATTGAACATTCAATAAAATTAGACACTTCTGCTTCAACAAACTTAAAATCACTGAAGAGAGTCATTTTGTCTTTCATTTCTCTTCTGGGGCCGGTTTCACAAAGCTATTTTAGACCGGTCTATAGTGTTAGACAAGTCTAATATTTGCTCATATAAGAGTCTAATGCAAGTTAGACTGTTTCACAAAAATAAAGACTGACTTAATTTAGACCAAAAAAATTTGACGCCTTCCCCCCAGGCTAACTCTGGTCTAAAGACTCTGTTACCTTGGCAACCAACAGTAACAATCAGTTACATTACAAACAGCCAAAAGCAAAGGGAAAATGGCCCTTTCCAAACGAAACATTTCTTCTTGTTACTACATTCTCCGCTAAATTTCCCAAGTAAAATGTCCTTGTAACTGTTATACTCCTCCAACAAACACATATTTCCCGCTGGGGTAAACTGCACTGAGCGGATGAATGCGCTTACTCGATCCGCCATGTTTTTTGTTTTGAAAAGTGTCTTATTTTACCCAGAATGCATTGCAGTGTAGTCCTACTTAAGATAGTCAGAGTCTTAAGTGCTTTGTGCAACGGTCTGATTTAGATGTCTATGTGAAGTCTGACTATGTCAAAGTCTATCTTTGTGAAACCGGCCCCAGGAAGACAATCTACCAATGGTTCACATGTAGCTGACTAATTGAACATTCAATAAAATTAGACACTTCTGCTTCAACAAACTTAAAATCACTACAGAACTAGATCAAGAGAAAAGTGACAGCTACTTTCTGCAGGTGGCCTTGAAGACTCATCCGATGATGTAATCCAGTTAATTCATCAGGGTGCAAATGTCTTGTGTGATTAGAATAGCTCCATAGCTGAAACGAGTATCGCTGTTTGTGTGGGAAGACGACACCGGTCTCCCGCAGTGTAACATGCTATGCTTCATCTAAGACTATTATATCCTTGTATAATTATTATACATGCTGCTTTTATGAATAGCTCATATTAAATGAGAGATTACATGCAGTATTTGCTTTTTAAATATTTGTCACACAATTGGTCCTCCGTCACACCGCAATACCTACAAATACTACGGTATACTACGACTACAAATAAAGCTAAAATGACAAACGTAAAAAACACCCAGCTCTGATATGAGTCACATTACAAACTTTGCTTTGAAGCAAAAACATATTTGTGATTATATTAAGACGTTAAGTAAATGAAGTTGTATTTTTCTCCAATTTTCAAAAGTACATATATATACTATTTTGTTGTAAAGTTTACTGTGTAATATATATAAATGTGTATATTGCAGGGACACCTAGTTAATTATACGATATAACTGCAATGCTTCATGGGAAATGAAAAACAGCGACCTACAGAAGTTATAAAAATATAACTTTATTAGATCATGTGATCATAACATACCCACTGAAAGCATTCACAGATGCTAGCATTAGCTTTGTGCGTAAACACCTCAAGGGATATTTTAAAATTTAATTTGACAAAAAAAAAGTTTTTTTACAGAATCCACACAATTATCAAATATATTCTCACATACATCTGATGTGTAATAACTACACTTTCCAAATGCATACATGTCATACATAAATATACAGCCAGTTTTCCAAATATCTACAGATCGTAAACGTTCCTCTCACATACACGCCACATGCATGTGAACCTCTTAAAAGTGGTTTAAGTGGGACTGTTTTTTCCCCTCTCAACACATCCCACAATCCCTTGCAGTCTGATTTAAAAAAAAAAACTCAACAGTGGAGTAATACGGTTTAAAATTAATAAATAGGAAGTGAAATGTTTCTGTCTCCCCAAGAACTGTGATTTGCCCTGTACTTTGAATTGCTTACACCCGTCCTACTCTTTTATTTTATGTAATGATAACTTGTCTTGAGAAAAGTGTCTTTCATCAGTTAAGATCTCAGAAGAAAGGCATTTCTATTGTTGATCATTAACTATGACAGTATTTTGATGAGGTTAAGCGTCATAATCTAGTCTCGTAAAGTTACGCAACGACACTGACGACAAACTGTCCATTTGCTAGTGAAGAGTTTGTAGTGGTCACTGATGCTTAATAACCTCACATCTCAGCTGACGTCTGTCCAGAGGATACAGATCGGGTACCTTTTAAAATAGAAAGTAAACAGGCAAAACGTGCCAGCTCAAGACTCATGTAACTTGAGGGCATCTCCCTTAGGCTTTTGCAAAGTCAAAGAATCCCATGGCACATCGCTACCATCTACCATACGGAAACTTTCTTTTTTTTGACGCTTGTCCCTAATCAAATTATTTCTTTCTGCTTTGCTTTTCCCTCATTCTTACCTTCTAAACCCTCCACTCTCAACCACATCATTACCACCTACTCATTCATCACTGGACGGCAGAAACACTGGTGATTCTTTCAGACGTACTAGAAAAGTGTTTGCAAAGCACAACTCGGCTTTAGCAGTCCATATCAAGGTGATCTTTTACTTGAGCCTGCAGGCGACATCATTAGAAGTACAGTCTAGTAAGGTTGAAGAACCCAGGGAACAGATGTGGGCTTCAAGTCCCAGCCAGAAACAAACTCAAACAGCCCTCAATCCTGCCAGCAGGAAACAGCTGCCAGTCCAGTGACTGAGAGGAAGACAACAAGAGAAGCATTTTGCAGCTCTTGCTAACATTAGTCTGTGTACTCCGCTACAATTGACAGCAGAACAGTGATGTCATCTGGCTTCCCTCCTTTGGAAAGAAGAGAAAGAGGGAATATTGTCAGGCAAATGTCAACACTCGACATCTACAATGTTCACATGTGCCACTGAATACATGCCAGTTAGGAAAATAAAAATGCATCAATCTGATAACGGGTAACACTTTACAAAAAGGTCTCATTAGTCAATGTTAGTTTGCTAAAAATGAGCAATACATTTGTTACACTATTTTGAATATTTGTTAAATTTTAGTTTATACAAATACAATGGTTCATTGTTAGCTCATGTTAGCACAAGTCCATTAAATAATATCAACAGATGCAACTTTTGATTTTAATAATGTTTTAGTAAATGTTATAATGGACATTAACCAAGATTAATAAATGCTTTAGAAGTACTTTTTAAATGTTAGTTCATGTTAACAAATGGAACCTTATTGTAAAGTGTTACCTGATAATAAATTTAATGCACTGATTAGGGATTAAAAAGATGACCATATTATTACCCAATTTATTTTGCATCCATTTCTCATTCAAAATGCAATTCTTGACCTATTTTTAGTGGAAAAATCCAACTAACAATGATCATGCATCAACTATCTGACCAGTTATTTTTTTAATAACTGTATAATACTACTTTTTAATAAACTTTAATAATAACAGTATATTTTTGCATTTATCCAAAGCAGATTTTAAGCATTTAAAGTATGCTGTTTTTTATGAGTGCATTTTCTGCTTCAGACATTTGTGTCGTCACAATTTTGAAAATAATTATGAATAATACGAAAATAACCAAATTGAAGTGTTATTTTATTATCATTGATATGCCATTATAGTTTATATATTTTGAGTTTTTAGGGCCCAAGCCTTGAAAAGGCGAAGGCCCTATTGTTTTCCTTAGGATTATTTTTTTTTTTTTTTTTTTTTTCTCCTCTTATTTTTCTTACGACTATTCGGGCACTTTTGGGGCTCTTAACGTGCACGAAAACTCTTGAAACTTTGCACGCGGGTCAGAACCCGCGGCCATCAGGGTCGGGGTGAAGATGGTACCCGGGCGTGGCAGGGGGGCTCGACAGCGCCCCCTGGAACGGGGTCCGAAAACTTGGTCCATAAATCAAACACGCTTGTATGTAAGAATATGAAACTCGGTACACATATAGATCTCATCGGTTCATATATACTTCATGCTCTTACTTTTTACCCCAGCCCAACAGGAAGTCGGCTATTTAGGGTTGTTTGTAAAACGCATGCAATGGAATTTAAAGTACTTCTCCTAGAGAATTCAAAGAAATGCCACGAAACTCGGTCAGCATGAAGTCAAGACATTGAGGATGAAAAATTGCGAGGGGATTTTTGATATCTCGAACGGTTTGGCCGTGGCGAGGAAACGAAATTATGGCGAGAAACGTGAAACAGGAAGTGTGTTATAACTTCTGCATACATTAACTGATCTTGATGAAACTTCAGCAGTGTGTTCGCTGTAAGAGTCCGATCACATGGATGTGACTATTGTGAGTCAAAGTTATAGCGCCACCAACTGGCAGCAGGAAGTGTGTCACTTTCAAAATGCTTCGAAATCACCCTCTTATTTTAACCCAATTTGCTTCAAACTTCAGCTGTATAATGTAAACATACGCCAGATGTAGACCTGTGAATGGATTCTTGATATCTTTGATACTGTTGCCGTGGCAACACATCAAACTTTAAAATTCTTTTTTGATGCTTTTGAGACTCTTAGCATGCTTGAAATTGCATGAAACTCGACAGACATGTCACATATATTAGCCAGTAGACATGTGCAAAGTTTCAGGAACGGGCGTGGTGCAGGGACTCAGTAGCGCCACCTTTTGACAAAAGTGAGAGGGTTAGTTTCATAGTTTTACCTGCAATCTTAAAACTCGGTAGGCATTTTGTTCAGATCAAGCCGGACAACTTTCTAATTTACAGATTTTGGTTCCGAACAACAGGAAGTCAGATATTTTGGTTTGAATGGGATGTTTTGGAGTAATCTCTGTCCCTCTCTCCCTCTCTCTGCATACATCTGTGTCTGTGGGGGGAGGGGGATGTGTCTGTTTGAGTGACAAAGCTTTTAATTATTGTTGATCAAGGTTTCGGGGGCTTTTGGGGCCCTTAACATCCTCTAAAACTCTTGAAACTTTGCACACGGGTCAGAACCCGTGGCCATCAGGGCCGGACTGAAGCTGGTACCCGGGCGTGGCAGGGCGGACCGACAGCGCCCCCTGGACTGGGATTCGAACACTTGTCCATAAATCAAAGACACTTGCATGTAATAATATGAAACTCGGTACACTTATAGATCTCATTGGGTTGAACAACTTTCGTGCTCTAAGTTTTACGACATCCCAACAGGAAGCCGGCTATCATGGTTTGTTTGGAAACGCATACCCCTGAAATTCTATTTAATTCTCCTTGGGAATTGATCGGATTTCAAGCAAACTCGGTCAGCATGACGTCAAGACATTGATGATGCTAAATTCCGGAGGGATTTTTGATATCTCGAACGGTTTGGCCGTGGCGAGGAAATTAATTTTATGACTAAAAAAGGACACATAAAGTGTGTTATAACTTTGCTCGTTTTACCTACAGTTACAAAACTTGCCACGCATATTTTTCTCATCAAGCCAATCGACTTTCTAATTTAAAGTCATTAGCTCAGAGCAACAGAAAGTCAGATATTGTAGTTTGAATGGATTTCTTGTCCCCCTGCCATTCTGTTTGTGTGTGTGTGTGTGTGTGTGTGTGTCTGTGTGGGGAGGGGAGGGGAGGGGAGGGGGGGGGGGGGGGGGGCTCTTTGAGAGAACCCGTGGCCATCAGGGCCGGGCTGAAGCTGGTACCCGGGCGTGGCAGGGGGGCTCGACAGTGCCCCCTGGAACGGGGTCCGAAAACTTGGTCCATAAATCAAACACGCTTGAATGTAATAATATGAAACTCGGTACACATATAGATCTCATCGATTCATATATCCTTTGTACTTTTACTTTTTACCCCAGCCCAACAGGAAGTCGGCTATTATGGTTTGTTTGGAAGCGTATGCCCCTGGAATTCGATATACTCCTCCTAGAGAATTCAACCAATCGCCACGAAACTCGGTCAGCATGAAGTCAAGACATTGAGGATGAAAAGTTGCCAGGGGATTTTTGATATCTCGAACGGTTTGGTCGTGGCGAGGAAACGAATTTATGGCGAATAAAGGAAACAGGAAGTGTGTTATAACTTCTGCATACATTAACTGATCTTGATGAAACTTCAGCAGTGTGTTCGCTGTAAGAGCCCGATCACATGGATGTGACTATTGTGAGTCAAAGTTATAGCGCCACCAACTGGCAGCAGGAAGTGTGTCACTTCCTAAAGGCTTTGAAATCACCCTCTTATTTTTACCCAATTTGCTTCAAACTTTATGTGTATAATGTAGACACACGGCAGATGTAGACCTGAGAAAGGATTATTGATATCTTAGATACTGTTGCCGTGGCAACGCATCAAACTTTATTATTCTTTGTTGATGCTTTTGAGACTCTTAACATACTTGAAATTGCATGAAACACGACAGACACATCACATTTATTAGACAGTAGACATGTGCAGAGTTTCAGAAACGGGCATGGTGAGAGCAATTAGAGAATAATGTTTAAGTTTAAAAACAGCCAGAATGGTTGTTTAGTCAAAAAATTTTTTTTTCCAAATCATACATAGTGTTATACTGCCCTCTTGTGTTCAAAATCAGGTAAAAAGCGAAAGTAAAATAAGGACGTCTGCACAATTCATTAATAATGGTGCAGAGTAGAGTGAGCTTTTTCAATTAATTCCTATGGAAGTAGGAATGAACTAAACAACGTTCGCTCTGTTCTGCTCGTCCCTCACCGTGGGCGCGCAGAGTTATGAATGCCCGTGCAGCCGTGAGCATTTTAGTTTCATTTTAAAATTAGCGCCATTTCGGGGGACGTATTACTTTAATTTATTTAACAAAAACACAATGTTGTGTTTTATTGCGAGTGTACACAAATATAAGTAAACACTTTGACGTTTGAATGATGTCCTGTATGAAGAAAATGACGGAGTATGTTTCACTGTTCAATCGCGCTGAGCCACCCAGACCCCCACACACACACTGACACACACACACACAAACACACACACACACACACACACACAATAATAAAACATTCAACCTAACATATACAAATTACACTGCTATGTTGAAATAGTCAGTAGTACAATTTGTATCATTCACAGTAAGCACCGCTCCACTGTGATTTTTCCAAGCACATTTTTGCACAAGTGAAGAGGATGATTTTTTCCGTCGATATTGGAACGTGAGTGAAGTACAAAGCCTGTAATAAAGAATAGTTTAGCATCCAAATACATCGCAAATGTTGCAAAATTTAGATTCTAAAGAGAGATTTACGTGAGCCTAACACCACTTACTTTTACTTTTGTTTTAAATTATTTCGTTTTGGCTTTATTATAGTTATTTTTTTATTCGTGTTCTGTTCTGAATATCATTAAATTTAAAGGATTTGTTGTGGAATATTTTGAGTGTATAATCAAATAACACTAATCCGTCACTAGGTGTCGCCAGGCGACCGTCTTAATAAGCGGGTGCTGAAACAGAAAAAAGTCAATATTGCATATAAAATGTAAGTGATTTGACTTGTGTGTGTGTCTGTGTCTGTGTCTGTGTGTGTGTGTGTGTGTGTGTGTGTGTGTATGATTGTGTCTGTTACAGTGATTGTTTAACCCTTGTTAAAGTTTAGGCCTTGTCTTTTTGGATATATATCTTTTTATATAAAAAAAATAGGCATACAACCCATATATTTTAAATGTATTGTTTAGGCCTTGTCTTTTTGGATATATATCTTTTTATATAAAAAAAATAGGCATACAACCCATATATTTTAAATGTATTGTTTTCTTTAAATTACATTAAGATTTGTATGTTTGGTAATTGAACCTGAATGAATTTTAAATGAATGTGCTATATTTCAGAGTTTTCCTTAAAATTTGAACTAAC